ACTATGCAGCGTAAAAAAGAAGGATCCCTTACCCTTTGGGGCAGCATGGAGGGACCTGGAGAGTATTATGCTAAGAGAAATAAGCCCATCAGAGAAAGACAAGTATCACATGACCTCACTCATATGTGGAATCTAATGAACAAAATAAACTGATGAACAAAATAGATCCAGAGACGTAGAAGACTGGAACAGACGGTGGAGTATCAGAGGAAGGCGGGGTGAGGGGAAAGGGGGAGAGTGACTAACCAGGGAGCTCATATGCGTATATGCATAACCCATGAACACAGACAACAGAGTGGTGAAGCTCTGGGAAGGGCGGGTGCAGGGTGGATGGGGTCGGGGGTGGGGGGAACCCCAAGCAAACATTGGGGACAACTGTAATACTTTCAACAATAAAGGTAAATAAATAAGTAAATCCTACATAATAAAGAGCTAATATGCAAATGGTCATCACTCCCTCACACCCTCGCGCCCTCATGCCAGGGCCGGGGAACCTGAGGCCGGGCTGTGGGACCTGAGGCCGCGCCCCCTGCCCTGAGGGGCTTGACAGGGGTGGGGCCAGCCAGGTTTGGGTCTCGCGCAATTTTGAGGCATGTGCAGGTGGGTGGGGACTTGACTCTGGGTCCCGTGGCGCACCCCAGACTCTGACAGGAGGGAGATTTTCATATACTTTCACTAATTTTCTTTCATCTCTGACACTTCTATTATAGAGAAAGGGCAAATAGCAATATTAAAATATTAAAAGATTCCTTTAATTAATTCCCTTTTAATGTGCACAGATTTCGTGCACCGGGGCCACTAGTAAATAAATAAAAAATGATATTAGAAACCAGAAGAGAAAATGTGAGGGTGTTCCTGGCAACCACTAACGAGGAAGGCAGCATCTGGGTAATGTCTGCACATTTTGTGGAAATGGAATGGGTCTCTGTATCACGTCTCTTCTGCTCTGTTGGCAGGTCTGTCAGACCCATGACTTTGTTTGCCATCTCGAAGCCACCACGTCCCTGCTTGGGGCCGACCCGTGGACTCACACAGCCCATGATGAATGTTGTGGGTGTCGGAAATGCACCTAAAATCAAGTCACCGGTGTGAGCACTCGGGGTAGCCCCTTCCCCAGCCTGCTCCTCCCAGCACTCTGCATCTTTCTTTTTTTAATTTAAAATATTTTATTTTTTGTTAATCCTCACCTGAGGATATATTTTCTTTTCTCCATTGATTTTTAAAGAGAGTGGCTGTGAGGGAGGGAGGGAAGGGGAAAGAGACAGCGAAACATTGATGTGAGAGAGACATATCGATTGGTTGCCTCCTGCATGCTACCCAACTGGTGCCGGGGATCGAGCCTGCACCCCAGGTACATGCCCTTGGCCAGGATTTGAACCTGCGATCCCTTGGTGCTAAGGCCAAATGCTCTAACCACTGAGCCACCAACCATGGCCACACTCCACATCTTAGTCAATGCTGCCATCCATCTGCCTCTTCAAGCTAAACCTCTGGGGACATCACCGGCCCCTCCTCCTCCCACACGTCACGTGCGAATCCCTCACTAAATAAATGCGTGCACAGCACAGGGTCTCACCATGGCTGCCACTGCCGGTCCTGCTCATCCAGAGCCCTAGCTCTGCCTCCCCGGCTCCTGACGCGTCTCCATCCCGCAGTCAGACTGGTTGCTCTCAAATTGAATCTTCCTGCCTCAGCTCCCAGTCAAACCTCCTAGGGCTCCCATCCAGGTGTATAAATACAGAGTCTTTATAAAAACGTAAACACACACTCGTGAAAATACGCAGGGCCCGGCCGGCGTGGCTCAGTGGGTGAGCCTCGACCTGTCACCCAGGAGGTCACGGTTCGATTCCCGGTCAGGGCACAGGCCTGGGTTGCGGGCTCCATCCCCAGTGGGGGGCCTGCAGGAGGCAGCCGATCCATGATTCTCTCTCATCACTAATGTATCTATCTCCCTCTCCCTTCCTCTCTGAAATAAAAATAGATTAAAAAAATATGCAGAACACAATGCAAAGTCCGCCCGTGGTCTCCAAGGCATGGCCTGCTCTGGTCCCGTGACTCCGCCGGTGGCCCCTCACCCCCTCTCTCTGCTCTCGGCGCCTCAGGGACCCCAGGACTCCGAACGGTCCTGACAGCTGCCCAGCGAGCTCTGCCAGGGCCTCTCCGCCAGCGCCCTCTTCTCTGGGGGTCCACATCACTGACCATCAGGCCCCCCTGACCAGCCCCCACTCCCACTTGCTCTCCGAGTGCCGCGTGCCATGCTGTCTCCCCGGCTCCCTGTCTCCCCACGGGACATTCCCGCATCCAGCGCCGGCGGCGTTATCATTCCCCTGGAGTGCGGCCGGAACGGTGACACCGCACAGGAAGCGTGTGGGGTGAACGGACAGCGTGCGGGAGGGACGGATCGAGCGCCCCATTCCTCTTGCACAGGAAATGGGGACATTTATAAAATACGGTCCG